GTGTGTGTGTGCGTGCGTGCGCGCGAGCGCGAGATAGAAAGCGAAAAAGAATTAGAGAGACAGACAGAAAAAAAGAAGAAACAAAGAAAGGAAGAAGAAAGGAAGGAAAGAAAAAAAAATAGAAGGGAAAAGAGCAAGGGAGAAAGAAAGAGAGGAAGAAAGAATGAAAGAATGAAAAAAACAAAGAAAAAGAAAGGAAGAGAACCGGCTGAGATTGCGCATTGCATGGAATGCCAAAGTGAAAGCCCAAATAGAATTAACTTGCTCCACTGCTCTAAGTGCCTGAAGACTCAGAAACTACGAGACCGTGCACGGCTTACACCAGGAAGGATTAAGCACAAATATATATATATATATATATATATAGTTTGGAAAGCAAATAGAGCTTGCTATGGGTAGTTGACGGGTGCTGTTGTGTGGTTTGCTTTTTCTTTCCTTTCCAGCAACTATTGTTCAAAGCTCCCCTCCTTCTCTTTTGTGTTTGCTACTGTCTGGTAACACTTCTATAATCTTCGGTACTTATATGATCCTGCTGTGTTGCAAGTGCTGTAAAACACTTACAAAAAAGAGCTTGCAATCGATCAGGAATTAATTCTATTCATTATGATTAGCACAATCTATCTATCTATCTATCTATCTATCTATCTATCTATCTATCTATCTATCTATCTTCTATCTATCTATCTATCTATCTATACATCTATATGTCTGTCTGTCTATCTATCTATCTATCTTCTATCTATCTATCTATCTATCTATCTATCTATCCATCTATATGTCTGTCTGTCTGTCTGTCAGTAGGTCAGTCTGTCTGCCTATTTCCTCTCCTTTAAGCTTCGCGGGTGGTTGAAGGGTGCCACTGACAGGTTCGTTACTTTCTCTCTGTTATTTTTCTGTTTGTTTGTTATACTTTTTACCGCCACCCAGTGACCGTTATTATGTCTGTGTGCTTCTCTTTATTAAAAAAAACAACGTCCAAAAACAAACTAAAACTCACTTAGGCTATGTCGGTTTTGTGGTAGGCTGCGGTTTCTTTGGGAACTGGGCCTTCCCTTACTTGGTCTGATATAATGTTAGCACAGGAGGTCTTAATACCACCTCTTAAATAACGTCCTGAAATTGTTCATCCAGGCTGTCCCCGCCACACCCCGCTCTCTGTCTCTCTCTCTCTCTCTCTCTCTCTCTCTCTCTCTCTCTCTGTCTCTCTCTCTCTCTCTCAAAGGTACACATACACACACTCACATACACACACACACACACACACGAACACACACACACGCACCCCCATATACCCTGTTCTTCGTTTTCTTATTTGATTTTACTCCACATTAAATGTTTCTGTCTTTCTGTTTGTCTGTTTATTTCTCTCCCCCCCCCCTCTCTCTCTCCCTCTCTCTCTCTCTCTCTCTCTCTCTCTCTCTCTCTCTCTCTCTCTCTCTCTCTCTCTGTCTGTCTGTCTGTCTGTCTGTCTGTCTGTCTCTCTCTCTCCGCCTTTGGGACTCAAATTAGTAAAGTTAATTCAGTATAATAGTCACAATGAAAACACACAACTGTTGCTGCATTTGGCATTCCTTACACTGGCATTTTTAAATTTTTAAAAGTTCGTGACAATGAATCAAAAAACGATTATTAAGCGTAGGCTACTCCTGTATTATATCATTGTTGTCATTCCTGCACCAGTGACTCTTGCTTTGTCCTGTTCAAAAACTCACAAACAAATGGCAGTTGTTGGCGGGTGCTCATGTGTGATTTGCTTCCCCTTTCTTATCAAACATCTGTCGTCTTTATCTCTCCTCTGTTATTGCGTTCGTTAAACCCTTTTAATACCTCTAACCCTCGGCACTGTTATGACGTGTTGCAAGTGCCGTAAAACGCATACTAAAACAAACAAAAACACACAACATATCAGTTTTCATTTTACTAGTAAGTTAATGATTTTTGCAAACACATGCACCGAACACCGGTTCAAAAATTGCTACTTGGTGCGACTAAAAGATACCTAAAACCATTTCTTGATAAGCAATACGTTTTCTTTTCATGTTTTCGTCAAATTTGAACCTGAGTGGATTTTGGGATTTGAGGGGAGATTTAGGGATTGGGTGGAGGGGGGGGGGGCGGTGGGGGAGGGTAATAGTATGGAAAAGGTGACAGAAAACAAACGTATTCTCTTTTATTCACCACAAAGTTCCTTTTGTGAAAAACACAGCTTGACGGACTGCAGTTGATTGCAATCGCTCATTGCCACATACTCGCTCGTGAAAAGCTATTTAAACGCTAAAACCCAGCCGGAGCGGGTAGTTGGGAGCCATTAGGGCCCCCGGTGGGAGTGCGCAGGTCTCTGGGTGACAGAAAAACCCCTGGCTCCCTATACGCGTCCGAGCAGCAATAATGGTCGTTCCGTCCTCGGGCTAATCCGGATAAAGTTAGAGACGAAGGAAACATCTCACCTCTCGTCTCCGTCGCCCTCCCTAGAGACCTGCTTCGATGGACGCCAGGAGACTAGTGCTTTGCGCGCAGTTTTGTTTGGTTATTGTAAGTTCGGCTAACATAAGCCAGCGCATATGATATTATTGTATTGTTATGATCGAGTACTAGCTGGGATATAGCGTTCTCAATAAAACCGTTTTACTTGTTTATTTTGACTTCGGGTAACATAAGCCCGATTAGAAATATATACATTAGTATAGGGTTCTTTATAATAAAACTGACTGATATTTTCCTGATTATTCTGTTGGTGCAGCAAGACCAAATGACAAAAATAGTCTGTGACACCCTGCTTGTTGAAGGGCTTAATGTCAGAGGAGGAATGTAGCCTCACGGGCGGAGAAGACCTCATGGTTTGCTCTCCTTATACTTCCAGAAGCCGGCACAGACTTTACGCAAACACCAGCACGACGCATACACCACCGGAACTCGGCTAAAAAGGGCTTGGCTCTCAACCAATCACCGTCACCGCTTTCGAGTGATGATAAAGCCAAGATGGCGCAGCAGTCCTGGTATAATTAGCTCGTGTCTTTTCCTTGTTTGTTGCGGAGTCCGACAAAATGCTGAGAAGTCGACAAAAACACTCGTGGTTTCAGATCGCTTTGTGAAACAACCGAATCCGCGTGTTTAATATTCCCCCACGGATTTTCTTTTTCAATTTGTTTATAACATTTGCAAGAATTTTTTTTTTCTTCTGATTGACTCACTTGTGGTGAAAACAAGAATGTGGCGAGCCCCACACAGGAAGTAGACAGGGTTCCAAGGGGCATCCTGGGAATGGGAGTACTTTGCGTGAGAGATAAGGATGAGAGCTGGCGATAGAGGTGAAAAAACACGCAATGGAAACTGGAGATTGTATGAGTGGAGGTTGGAAAGAAGACGAGAGACAGTTCTTTAAAATATTATATATTGTTTGCCACGTCAATAAAATTCTCTATTTTGTCTTTTTGTTTTCAAGTTGTTGTTTTTTTTTATTGTTTTAAAAAAGTATTTTCCTTTTCCTGCACTCGAGTATGATAATATTATGAGTGTTAGACATATTTTTTATTTTTTAAGTGCACTGGTTTTGTTGCTCAGAATGAGTCAGATTGACAGGACAAATGTAAGAAAAGATGGCTGAAAGAAAACATGAAAATTGTGCACTAGGAGGTTATGGCATCTAGAAATAAGGGACTTGTAAAGGGTATAAAACTTCACCGTTTATGAAATTAGGTAGATAGATAGATAGATAGATAGATAGATAGATAGATAGATAGATAGATAGATAGACAGCGTCAACTCTGAATTAATATGCATCATTATGGTCCAGGAAGCCTGTACAAACTATCCCGACGGGGCGGTTTTGTACATAATAAAATTGTTCTTTCAACTTTTCCCAGTCATGGCGAACCGATGTGCGTGTATTGTGCCGCAGCCAGACGCTCTGCAGTTGTAGACAGGAGACCCAAGTTCGATTCTGGAGTGGGAAACGTGTTTATATATTTCTAGACGCATGCTCATAATCAGATTTGTGGTGATGATGATAACGATGACGGCATGACAACCACGATAATTGTGCTGCTGCTGCTGCTGCTATTGCTGCTGCTCCTGCTACTGCTGCTGCTGCTGCTGCTGCTGCTGATGATGATGATGACGTTGAAAGCGGACTGAAAATTACTCATGACATCACCTCCATATTTGCCTTTTTGGCAATGGTGATGGTGTCACTGCTGCTGAGACTGCAGCTGTTGCTGTTGTTATTGCCGTTTCTGCTGTTTCTGCTGTTGCTGTTGATGTGATGATAACGCTGAACATATTTTATAATGTCATTAAACTTCAAATACTAAATACTCCACAAATTTGTTGTTGTTGTTGTTGTTGTTGTTGTTGATGTTGTTGTTGTTGTTGTTGTTGTTGTTGTTGTTTTCATTATTGTGCTTACTGCAATGACGATGGTGGTGATGGCGACAATAATGGTAATAATAGTGATGTTTAAATTAACGTTTAAAAGCTTTGTTTTAAAGGCTGGGACTGGAGATGCGTATGTTGAAAAGGCAACATACAAAAATAAAGGCAGTTTTTAATTAATTAATTAATTAATTAATTAATTAATTAATTAATC